TCTGGGTGAGCTCGAACTTCCAGCCTTTTAGTTAGCAGCCAAGTACATTCACCGTTTGTACCACCCAAGGATTCCAGGTGGCTAGGAGGATGATATAAAGCGCTAAGCCTACTGTAAGCACTAAATTAGTAGCTACTGTTAAATCTTTCTATTATCCCTGTAAAGAAGGAGGATCTGTCTACTTCTGGAGGTCAAATGCATTTTATTAACAATAATGATCTTCCCTGTGTTTACTGCATGTCTTCTGTTTGGCAGTATGTCATGGCCACTGACAGTTTCCAGCTGGGCTACGCAGAAGACGGGCATTGTAAAGGGGACACCAACCTGAATATCCCGTACCCCACCAGGCTGCAGTGGGAGATCCCGGAGGAGGTAAGTCAATGGTCAAGCAGTCACTGTTTTCCTCGGTTGTTATTGGGTGCCATCCAGTCAGTTCTGGCTCACAGCGACCCCGCGTTCAGCAGGACAAAACACTGCCCCGTCCTGCTCCATCCTCACAATTGTTGGGCTGGAGCCCATTGTTGCAGCCACTGTCTCAGTCCATCTTGTTGAGGGTCTTCCACTTTTTTGATGACCATCTACCTTACCAAGCATGATGTCCTTCTCCAAGGACTGGTCCCTCCTGATAACATGTCCAAAGTATGTGAGAGGAAGTCTTGCCATCCTTGCTTCTAAGGAGCATCCTGGCTGTACTTCTTCCAAGACAGATTTGTTTGTTCTTTTGGCAGTCCATGGAATATTCAATATTCTTCGCCAACACCATAATTCAAAGGTGTTAATCCTCCTTCAATCTGTCTTATTCATTGTCCAGCTTTCACATGCATATGACGTGATTGAAAACACCATGGCTTGGATCAGGTGCACCTTAGTCCTTAAAGTGAATCTTTGCTTTTTAACACTGTAGAGAGGTCTTTTGCAGCAGATTTGCCCAATGCAATACCTGGTTCGACTTCTTGACTGCTGCTTCCATGGGTATTGATTGTGGATCCGAGTAAAATGGAGTCCTTGACAGCTTCAATCTTTTCTCCATTTATCGTGATGTTGCTTACTGGTCCAGTAGTGAGGATATTCCTGGGTGGAAAATGAATTTAAACTCTCCCCACCGAACTTCCCAGAAGAGCTTCCTGTGTGTCCAGGAGCTCAGCTGAAGACCTTTGAGACTGAACTTTGTTCACCTGGGGAATTTTTGCCAGGGCCGCAGAGCTCCTAGAGCTCCTGTTAACATCCATCAGGAGCCTCAGTAGGTATTTCTTCTTCCATCTTAAGCTTTCAGCTAAGTTTGTCAGTGAGAGTTCTAGCTCAAACTGAGCTAAAAAAAAACAGTTGTCAAATCGATTCCAACTCATGGTGACCCCATGTGTGTCAGAGTAGAACTGTGCTCCATAGGGTTTCAGTGGCTGATTTTCGGAGGTAGGTTGTCAGGCCTTTCTTCTGAGGCACCTCTGGGTGGGTTCGAATGCCAGCCTTTCGGTTAGCAGCCTAGCGCTTCACTGTTTGTGCCACCCAGGGACTCCTCTGACTTAGCTAGACATCTGTACAGCGTTCAAAAGGAAAAACTAAACAAACAAAACCAAATAGAATCACGTAGTTTAGAGTTGAAGTACTTTAAATCACTATAATTTTTACAACTTAAAATAATTTTTGTTCCTGTAGGGATTCTTTAGGTGTAATCCATTTGGTAGGAGCCCTTTGGGGAAGGAATTTTAGACTTGGAAGTACCGAATCCTATCTCATCTAATCCGAGCAAGAATTTCTGGGGCCCAAGGAACGCTTTTGAGGTCGTACGATACTGTAGCTCCTGCTGCCATTTCAGCCTGCGCCTGCTCGTCCTGGGGCCCCCAGGCTCGCACGCACTCTGCAGAGGAGGAAACCTCTGCAAAAGCGCCTGGGCTCAGGACCCTGGTGGCCAACTGAGTCGCTCACTGTTTATTTTTACAAATGGGCCCCTTGACTGCCACCTGCAGCAACAATGGGCTTCACCCAGCAAAACCCCCGACTCCTTGAAATGCCCTTTGGGGTCTGTCTTAGTTCTCTAGGGCCACTGTAACACCAGCCCCGCAAGCGGTGGCTGTGAAGAGCAGAAATTGATGTTCTCACGGTCTAGGAGGCCACAAGTCCGAGCTCAGGGCAGAGGCTCGCTCTCTCAGCTCTGGGGGAAGGTCCTTGTCTCTGCTCAGCTTCTGTTTCTTGGTTCCTTGGTGATCTTCATGTGATGTGGTGTTTGTCTTCCCACATCGGTGCTGTTCGCTGCTTGTTCAATCTGCTCTTTGGAATCTCAAGAGAGATTGACTTAAAACACACCCCACACTAATACTACCTCAGTAACATAATGAAAACCCTAGTCCCAAATGGGATTGTAACCACAAGTGTAGTAGGATTTATAACACATATTTTTGGGGGACCACAATTCAGTCCATGACAGGGTCCCGCTGGGAACTAGGAGGCTCCAGTCTCCTAGCTGTGTCCTGACTTGCTTGGGACCCCCCGCCCCCACCACACCGCAGGGGTGCCACATTCGTAACTTACCAAAGCCCCGGATAACCTTTCTGGAAAGAGCCATGAAGAAAAAGGTGATCTGCACGTTCCCGAGTAACAGCTTTGCCGCCTCACTGAAAACTAGCTTCTGCTTTACTTCTGGGCGTCCGTCACTATTGTCCCCTCACTGAGGAAAACTGTTTTCTTCTTTTTCTGAAGTGTCAAGAGGTGATAGAGACTTCCCTGAACAGCGCAAACCTTCTGGCTGATGACGTAGATTTTCACTCTTTCCCGTTCAATGCTTTTGGGAAAGGCTTGATCAAGAAGTGCCGGACGAGCCCAGATGCCTTTGTCCAGCTGGCCCTCCAGCTGGCTCATTACAAGGTGAGTGCGTGAGCCTGGGTCTGTCCCTGAGCACATGCCCGAGACCCGACCCAGGGAGGGGCAGCTGCTGGCAGGAAAAGCACAGCCTCCTGCGTCTTCAGTGCCCACTATGGGGTCTCTGTGGGCAGGAGAGTGTCCGCAGGGGCCCCTCCGGGTGGTAGTAGGTTTCCCGTGTTACACAGAGACCAGAGGGAGGAACTAGAGACTGGAGCAAAGTGACACCCCATCGCGCCTGCGGAAGAGAGTGAACCCCTGAAATAAACCCCAAGTCCTAGCGTTTGGTAAAGCGGAAGCACTCGGGGCAAATACTTAACATGTCTGTCTAAGCTACCTAGGGCTGCTGTAGCAGAAATACCACAAGTGGGTGGCTTTAAAGAACCGAAATTTATTCTCTCACGGTTCTGGAGGCTTCAGGCCAAACCAGGGTCTCCGTCATGCTGATTCCTTCCTCGTTGGAAGCTACTTCCTGGGCGTCCTTGGTTCCCTGGCTTATCGACGATCCTCACACGGCATCTGTCCGTCTTTGCCTGTACGTGCCTCTGCGTCTAATCTGCTCTTTTCCTAACTCAGAAGTGATTGGGTTTAGGACCCATCCTACACCGATGGGCTCATGAACATAACAAAGAACCCCTATTTACAAACAGGATCACACCCACAGGTAGAGGGGGGAGGACTCCAACACATATTTTGAGGGGACGCAGTTCAATCCATAGCAGCCTCTGACCTTGGTCTTCCTCTTCCGTAAATGAGGACCTGGCCCACTACCCTGGGGTGTTCTGGGTGGGAGGAGGCCCCTGCATGCACACAGAGGTAAACGGCATCTCCCCTTCTTTCTCTGAGCCCCAGTCACCTGTGGTTTGCAGGTGGCAGCCCTGTCAGAGGACACAGCCTGGAAGCGGGGCTCCCTGCCCGTCAGGGAGCACAGTCCACCCCAGAGTGGGCCTCTCCACGGGACAGTGGAAGTCACTCTGGCGGTCCTCCAGGATGCACCCCTGCTTGTAATTAAACACTTTGATTTCAAGCTCGCGCATTCCACGTGTACAGCGTGCAGAGCACCTGCGATCACAGTGGCTGCGCTTTCGCGCTTGGCTCCGTTCCAGGCGTTGGTCCAAGTGCTGTACTTAGACCACTCCTCACCATCCTCCCATCGGGGAGGCCCTGCTCTTAACCCCCTTTCACAGGGGAGGAAACTGAGGTGCAGAGAGATGAGGTGACCTGCCCAGGTGACACGGGACTGTGGCGGGGTGAAGCCCCCTGGTGGCCCTGGAGGCTGCACCTGCCGGCTGGACTCCCTCCTTCGTGGAGGTCCAGGAAATATACAAATGCAGAGAAGTGGAAGTAGCAATATGCATATTTTTTACTTTATTTTGTTGTTATTGTTGAGAATATACACAGCAAAACACACACCTATTCAACAGTTTATGCACGGATAATTCAGTGATAGTGATTATATTCTTCAAGCTGTGCAGCCGTTCTCACCCTTCTTTTCTGAGTTGTTCCTCCCCCATCAATGTAAACTCACTGTCCCCGCTAAGGTTCCTATCTTTCGAGTGGCTATTATCAGTTTGATCCCATATAGACAGTTCTTAAAAGAGCATAATGCTCAAGGCAGACCTTTTTTATAGACCGAACTATTGTTTGGTTTTAAGAAGGCTTCAGGGAAAAGTGACTAAACTAGAACCAAGAGGAACCGAAAAACCAAACCCATTGTCAAGTCAGTTCAGACTCAGGGCAACCCCATGTGTTACAGAGTAGAACTGTGCTCCATAGGGTCTTCTTGGCTGTAATCCTATGGAAACAGTTCTCCAGGCCTTTCTTCTGCAGCACTGCTGGGTGGGTTTGAACTGCCAAGCTTTGAGTTAGCAGCTGATCACAAACTGCTTGTGAACTGGAACCAATGGGCCAAAATTATAATTAAAGGGGATGATAATAAAGATTGTAACAGTCGTGAAGTTTTACTTTTGCAAATAGCATGCTCCCTGAAGTACATGAGCCGAAAGCATTTGGACAGAAGCACAGTGCTTGTGGGATCCCTCGCCTTGGTCCTCTGTCTTCGATCCGTCAAGCGACTGAAGGGTGTAATGGAAACAAGGAGTTGGAGTTTAGAATAAGTAACCTTGATTTTAAAAATCACCAAGCCAACTTGTGCGCATAAAGCGGTGTTAGGACTGTGAAAGGAAGCAACACCTCGGGTACAGAGAAGACGTTTACGAAGAGAATGCTGTGTTCCAGTTTATAAAAACAACGGTCGACGTTCTACCTTGGTGAGTAGCGTCTGGGGTCTTAAAAGCCTGTGAGCAGCCATCTAAGATACTCCACTGGTCTCACCCCTTTGGGAGCAAAGGAGAATGAAGAAAACAGGATACAAGGAAAAGATTAGTCCAAAGGACTAATGGACCTCAACTGCCACGGCCTCCACCAGACTTGAGTCCAGTACAACTAGACGGTGCCCGGCTACCACCGCTGACTGCACTGACTGGGATCACAATAGAGGGTCCCGGACAGATCTGGAGAAAAATGTAGCACAAAATTCTAGCTTACAAAAAAAGACCAGACTTAAACTAGTCTGACAGAGACTGGAGAAACCCCGCGAGTATGGCCCCCGGCCACCCTTTTAGCTCAGTGATGAAGTCACTCCTGAGGTTCACGCTTCAGCCAGAGATTAGACAACCCCATAAAACAAAACGAAACTAATGGGGCACAACAGCCCAGGGACAACGACTAGAAGGCAGGAGGGGACAGGAAAGCTGGTGATAAGGAACCCAAGGTCGAGAAGGGAGAGTGTTGACATGTCGTGGGGTTGTTAACCATTGTCATAAAACAATATGTGTACTAACTGTTTAATGAGAAACTATTTGTTCTGTAAACCTTCATCTAAAGTACAATTTAAAAAAAAAAAAAAAAGGGAATGCCGTGTTCCCTAGCAGTACATTTGAAAATCTCAGTGAAATGATTTTTTTGCTGTGGGAACACAGATTAACTCAGTAAAGGTGGAAGGTTGGAGAAGATAGTAGCTGTGGATGGAAGTGAAAATCTGCCAGAAAACCAGCCCCTGCAGTGAATGAACCTGGTCTGGATAGGGTCAGGCTTTTTTTCTATTCCAAAGCACGGTCATTTATTTAGGAATGCACAGTCCAATCTCAACAGAAACAAGTTTTTTATAACAACAGTAATAATTGCTATCATTTATTGAGCACTTAATATACACGGTGAAACTTGTGACAGCCGGAACTCAACGGCATTGCCTTGCTTTTCCGGGTCTCTCAAGTTTTCCGCCTTTGACAGGGTGCAGTTCTAGCACTTTTCCATTGCTCATGTCAGTGGAAAATACTTGAGTTCTCCTTCTGTGACAGATGGCCACCTTACACAGGTCCCCGATTTCACAGCCGTTACTGTACCAGATACTATGCTAGGCTGAGTTCTTTCTTTCAATTCGGATAATAATCCTGAAAAGCGTATGTTTAAGCTTTGAAGACCTTACGGCTTTGGGGACTATGAGAAGGAAGGAAGGTAGCGATTCATGTTACAGAACTGGCAGCGCCCTGAGGATGATGATAAACTTGGTGGAGCCCGCCACAGGCACGCTGCTGAGTGTCTGCAGGAACCAATTTCCCCACAAGACACCCCTGAGGGTGCGTCTTTATCTCCACTTTCCGCACGAGGAGGGCAGATATCTTGCCCGAGACCTACAGCTAGTCAGAGGCAAGGTTGAGGTTTACTAAGCAGTCTGGTTCTAGAATCCATGTCTTTAAGTCATCATGCTTCAGTGAGACCATCTGGTTACAGACAAAAGAAGAGAAAATCATATGGAAACAGCCTACATGTCCATCGACAGAGGACTGGATAAACTGCGGTCCGTCCATACAAGGGAGTATTACTCAGCCGTAAAGAGAAATGAAGTCCTGGTACACGCCACCACATGGATGAGCCTTGAAAACATCACGCTCAGTGAAAGAAGTCAGACCCAAAGGGATCCCACCTGCATGAAATACCCAGCTTTAGGCAGGTCTGCAGAGAACAAAGGTTGTTGGTGGTGACCGGGGTGGGAAGGACAGACGGGAAAGGGGGACTCAGCGCCTAGAGGACACTGAGCTTTTGTTAGGGGTGATGGGAAAACTTGGAAATAGATGATGCTGATGGTTGCACAACCATGATAACCTAACTAATGTCACTGAGTTGTACAGTGAATGTTGAAATGTTTTGTTACCGAGGTGTAGTGACCAGGATTTTTAAAAAAAGGCAGCTATAGACCAGTTTCGCTTATGAAGGTAAGAGCAAAATCCTTAAATACAGTGGAACCTGTGTAATGTGGAGACCCGCCAGAGAAGGAAAAGTCAAATATTTTCCACTAATAGTGACTGCACCCTGTCAAAGGCGGAAAACTTGCAAGACCCGGAAAAACGAGGCGGTCCCGTTGAGTTCCGGCTCTCAGGTTTCACTGTATTAGTAACTAGGGTCTACAGGTTATAGGCAAAGAACGATAGCAGAGAACAGCTTCTAGGAGCGACAGGAGGGTAACTCAGTGTTAGTAAATCCGGCACTGTGTTAACTCACGTTATTAGGTAAGAGAAGAAACCAGATCGTCATCTTACGAAATCCTAAAAAGGCATCTAAAATTGAACGTCTTATCCCTGATGGCAACTCTTAGTAAAGGGCCTTGGTGATGGGGGCTGTTTCCTTAACATGGTAGCCACCATCATTTGTCAGTAGTCAGCTTATTGCTTAAAGGGGAAAATGTAGGACAGTCCCCTTAAAACACGGTGCAGAGCCTCCAGCCGCTCCACTGTTCTAGAACGCTTTTCTCTAAGTGTAGCCGGTATAGTTTGACCGGGTAACGGGGCCAGAGGAATGTCTGTACGCTCAGAAGATGGAGCGGGATGAAGGGCTTTACAGCCTAGATGTGTGCTCAGATTACAGGGTGCCCTCAACTGCAGGATGCTGCAAAGACCAGTGTCTTTCTTATAAACAAGAGCCAAATAGAAGATATAATGGAAACTAGAACAAAAATCTAAGCTCTCCAGGCACGCATTTATAAAGTAGACAGGACCTTTGTGAAGGAAGTCTCAGAAGCCGACCCGAGGAACACAGGAGGCTCTAGGAAAGGCCGTGATTTTGGAGCAAGACGAAGGTTCCCAGTTGACACATTTAATGTGAACGCAGTCAGAGGTCTGGAAATTCGTTCAGCAAAGGAGTTTACCAGCTGGTTTTAAAGTTCTTCTGGAAGGGTTAACACTGAAGAATAACTGACACCATTCTGAAAAAGAAAAGTAAGAAAGTGGAGGTGGGAGCAGGGTGAGGTGCATACTTGCTCTTCGAAAGCTTGCAAGATAGAAATTAGAAAACTGTAGTAATTAGAGTGCTGTAGTGTGGGGGCAGGGCCCTGGCTGGTGCACATGGTCTGCACACGAGCACTAACTGAAAGGTTGGCAGCTTGAACCTACCCCGTGGTACTGCGGAAGAAAGGCCCTGGCCATCTGCTTCTGCAAAGATTCCTAAAAAATCAAACCAAACCCATTGCCATCCAGTTGATTCTGACTCATAGCAACCCTAGAGGACAGAGTAGATCTGCCCCCTAGGGTTTCCA